TTTCACAACAATTTTATCGATGCGACCAGCTCTATTCATATAGCCAAGCTATATTTGCTTTTCTGTTCGTTGAATGAAAGCTTTCCTAATCCTCATTGAAATCTTTGAAAAGTGTAATCCATGCCGTAATCAGCAGCCCTGGCCATGGTATTAGCCTCCAAAAACTAATACACTGCCCCGAAATTTCTTTTGTCTGTTGTGGTCTGCATGACGTGAATTCTCTTGTTGAGCCATGGTAGAAGAATGGGTGAACAGCAGTAAGGTATTAGTTTTCCATTTCTAATACTACGAGGGCCACTGTCAGTGGAAGGGACGGTGGAAAGAGCCCCAGCTCTATTCTAAGGCCTCAGCTTATAGAAAAAATATTTCTGGAAATTAACTTTATGAATTTACAAAATGTAGCTGTACTTTTGCTAGCAATGCCTTTGGATGGATAATTTGATTGACAAAATTTAGACACTGAATATAAAGAGCAACAGTCATGAAATAATTTGTTTAAGCTAAAGGCAGTTGTAAAAGTTGTTTTGTATGAACTGTATGTTTTGTAAAACTTTGATTCTATATGATTGTAGAGTCACAGGCAACATTCTCACATTATTTCTCTCGGTTTCTCAAATCAAATGATACATCTTACGTTTTTTTGCTGCATTACTCTAAAGTAAATCGCTCGCTTTATCGTAATAGAATCTCATTCGCGGGCCAAAAGCCTCATGGTATTAGAATTAATGGGCTAATACCTTGGGGCTCCATTACTGGGCAGCAAACCGCTGTATCAAAACACGATTTCGCTCGAGTAATTTGCCGCAGCCATAATTCATTTGTATTTCGTAGGACCGATCCTTCACCCAAAACTAGTAGGATGAACTACATTACCACAGGTTCATCAGTGTCTGGGGGGGAGACAACGGGGGCCAGTGCCTTCAAATAATTTTGTAAGATATGGTATTGCCAAAAGCTATTTTAAACCATCATATCGAAAAGGTCATTTTGCCCACCTTCTTAAATAAGAACATATAAGCTCCACCCCTGTTAAATAGTTTCAGGACCTTGCGAGGGGAACTTCTTATGTCTTAATTTCGAAGGCTAATACCAATATTTTTCTACTCCCAGCCGCCCCTGTGCCATTATCCTTCATCTCTTCCAGTCTTGCTGTAGCTTATATGCAGCGTCCTTTCAAGGCACGTCGGAGCCGGTGAAAGGGGGGCTGGGGCTGTAGTCCCCGCATTTTTTGCTGAAGTGTGATATCAAAGATAATGGTGAAAAAAATACCATAAAAGTTTACCAATTTGCCTAGAGTCCTTCCCCCACCCCCAAAAGTTGCTTTCCTGTTTTTTTTTCCTGATCAGTTTTCCTATTTGCTGCCAGGGAGCAGTGTTGCCCGAGGGGCAAATCACTCTAAGAAAATCTCGTACAGCTTTTGGGAAAATCCTATTGTTTTTTCTGAAAATCCCCAGAAATCCTTTTCCGAAAATCCCCAGCAAGAGTGAATCGCCCCTCGGTGTTGCCCATCTCTGTCCGCGTTATTTCTCTCTAGAGCACTGGTACTATATCATATTGCATTGGTAATTATATCTTTTTTCCCAGGCCAGCCTTTTAGGCCATGCGTCCCTTAAAGTCACACAGTTGTCACAAAACAAATTCTTCGCTAATGAGATAATTATTCTCACAATAAATAACCGATTTGCATATATTTCGTTCATAATTTGTTTTATTTCCAAAATGCATTCTTTCCGATAAAAATATGCATTCAACCCGGCATTTTGTGATGGGACATGTGATAAGCGCTATTGATTTCCGGGTTTCTGGAGAATAATACAGTATCGAAATTCAAAACGACCTTGTTAAATAATCGGGAATTCACGAGCAAATATCCAACAATTTAGGGACCAGCTGGAAATAACTTTTGAAAAATGTCAGACGTTTACAAAACAAACATAGACTTAGAAAACGGGTTATGAAAATCTTCTAAAACTAAATGATTTGAAATGGCAAAAATCACTAGCAAAACAAATGACAAAAACATTTTGAATTCGCAGGATAAGTAGGCCAAACAAGTGACAGTTATCCGAAGTATGACTGTTTCGCTCTCTTTTAATAACATGGTAATTCTTAGGACCAGGATATCAAAGGAATTGGCGCCAGGCGCTCAAGGTTAAAATAGAAACAGACGCAGGTTGTGTAGGAAAAGTTTCGAGAATAGAAACCAATGGCCTAGACACTTAAATAATACGATGTCACGAAAAAGCTTGTGGTAAACAAAGTTCAACTTACCAACTTTCCACAATCCCTTGTTATTAAAATCGAAGGCCATTTATAAATGTTCACTCTGCATCAAATCATGGATATTTTTGACAACTGTCAGCGGTGGAATATTTCAAATTTTTAATGTTACGGACCCACATGTTTATGTTACGGTCGCGTGTTTGATCAGAACGAGACCTTCACTGGTACTGTATTGCTTTGCACATTTAAAACTGCTGGTTGTGGTGCGAGATGACACCGAATGAATTTACAACGACAAGGAAACAAAAAACAAAACTAGGCTTACCCTCAAACGGATTTTCAATGGTTGGCTGAAAGAAAACAAGAAGATTGTCATTGGGAGCAGCTTAACAATCGAAAATACAAAACGATTCGATCAAGCGTCTAGAGATAATACGAAAAACGGTTAGATATCCTTTGTGCTAAATGAAACCAGGTGTGCATAGAAAGAAGGTCGTGCAAAGACAGAGCTTTGTGAGGGCAGAATAGCGAATTTCCTCATCTAGTTACAGAAATGAATACCGATGAACAAACGGAATTTAAAAAAAGGAAATCAGCTGGGGCAGCCTTTATTTAATAAAGAGGAGGATCATAGCCTTCAAACAATGAAAGGTAACTGGGGTTGGAGGGGCAACTGCCATCTCCCGAGAAGCATGGTTTTTCTTCTACATAACATGAAAGGTTACAATCGAAAATAACTTCATAGGTATTTGGTAATAGGAGGGGCTAGTTTTAGAATTTTCTTTTTATGTTAAATATAGAATTATGGGTTTACGTTCGAATAAAAAGGCCAAGTACAAAGAATAACAAATTTGAAGCAACTCAAGTGGGTCTAATGCAAGTTGGAAAAAAGGGGGGCAGGGAAAATTAATTAGACCCACAGCAAAAGATTCTGCAAAAATAACTATTTTTGCAAAAAATGAGGGAACCATGGCAAAAACATGGAATAACAAGCAAAAAGCGATACAAGCAAACAAGCCACATCAGTCTATCAAAAATGGCATAATAAAAAACTTTCAAAATGAGACTCGCTGAAGGCTTTGGTGTGCAGGCAGGGGCACCGGAAGCACGGGGGCAGCGGGTGGCAGCGGGGGGCAGTGGGGGCCGCGGGGGCAGCATTGTACCCTTGTGAAAATTTCACTGTATTTATGCGAGTAGAATAAAACAATGTTGCTGTTACGAACAAAAATAATCATTGGATGCCTCTATTATGGATTCATCAGCAAATATGCAAATGAAGGAAATTACTATAAAATGAGCTGTGACATATTTGAACAAATAAATATGAAAATTCGGGGGCTTGTTATGTTCTTCTTTAATCCTTTGAAGTGTTTTATGGCTCTTGTCTATGAAACCAAACTATGACATGTTTGAAGCGAATAAACAGATTTTCATATCAAGAATGTTTCTTTGTACAATTTAGTTTAGAATTGAGTCATACTGTATTCATTTCATTGCTGGATCTTGGTGGACCACCAGAGAACCAGCAGCAATTGTTACTTTCAAAATTCACATCGAGCTTCAGAAAGGCCAGCGTTCACTGAAAATATGAGAGCTGTTTGCAAATCAAAGGCTACTAGCAAAAACACAATCATGTTCAGAAAAGTTCTTCCTTGTAGCTATGCAGGAATTGGCCCAGCTGCTTGAAAATAACTCTAAGTCATTCCAGAGCTAAGCCCCGACAGCAGAACAAGCCCTTGTCAGCATTGATAAGCATGAAGTTCGCTCAGATGAAGAATTTTGCCGTCAGGTGAAAAAAATGCACATTTTTACCAGTTGTAAAAGGTCTCGACAAAGCGAGCGCTGCTAAGAGAAAGCGAACAGCACCAAATTGCCTTGTAGACTTTGTGTCAAATTACGGTGAACTGAATGCTTTTCCCACAAAATTTTATGAAGTGGTCGATGCGATAAGCCAAGTAAGCCAAGAACTGCATTGACCAGGAAGATGTTAGAAATATTATCAACATAAAAAAGTGCATGATTGCTTGACAAGCCGTACAGAATATCAAGGGCCATCAAGGACAAGTTGGCCTGTATATCCAACCTCATCAAACTGCCTACTTTGACAGAAGAACTAAAAGAGCTACCCACATACATAAAAATTGGTAATAAAGAGGTTGCTAAACCAATAAGAAAGGTAACAAAGGTAGAAACAATAAGAAAGGTAACAAGGTTTTGTTTAATCGTGGCTTCGAGGAGGGCGATAAAGAATGCCTGCTAGAGCTACACAAATTATTACAATTGTATTATTCTTTTGCACTTTTATCTCCAACTACAGGTCGTGCCTTTAGCACAATGTAGCGTGTTAAGTCATGGTTGAGGTCAAACTTGACAGGCAACAGCTTAAAAAACAATGTTTACACAACGACCGTATGGACGGTATTTGTACAGAGAAAGCTGAAAGTGGATTCTTTGCAAGATCCGAATGACGACAAGAATATCTTCGACAATTGTAGACCTTTGAAATGAAACGCTTTATCCGAACCAAAGTATTAAGTTATGTCATATTTCTGTTCTGGTTTAATATAAATTCTATTGTATTTAATTTCATGTTATATTGTATGGTAAAAGGAAAAAGAAGAAGAGGCAGACCAGAGAAACAGTGGATAAATAACAGAAAAGAGTGGACAGTGCTGGATGTTGGTGAAATTATGAAGAAATCCAGAGACAGAAAGCAGTGGAGGCGGATTGTGAGGAAAGCATCTATATGTCCCTACGGTCGTGAGACCACGGGTTGATGATGATGATTCTATTATAATTCTATTATTAGTCATTGATAATCTGCCCTTTTTGAGTTGCTGCCCCCACCGCCTCAAAAAGCTTCCGGCGCCCCTGTGTGTAGGGGAATTTTTTAAGGAGGAGCTCTCTCAGTTCTGAGGCTAATCAAGAAGAGGGCTATCCCTTGTTTTCAAAGATGGCAAATTGGCAGGGCTTGTTGTAGGCATCAGGTCGTGAGCCTAGGTTAAGTGTCGCGTAAATAATGAATGAACCGGTACCGGATCCAATCTACCCTTAGAAAATACGCTCTCGTTGCTCAAGCAAGGCCTGATTCTTTTTCGACTTTAGTTTAAGGTGCGACAATGTTTTTGACAAAAAAATTACTTAGAAGGACAGTTTCCAAATGGAAATCAACCAAACAGGTTCCGCATAGTTTTTTAAGACATTGAAAGCAAGCAAATAAGTTCAAATCAATGCTCGAATGCGCTTGTTTTTGGATGGTATTTACTTAAAAATACCCTGGGTGCCAGAGTCCCAAAAATGAATATTCTTAAAAAAAGAATTTCTGTAACCGAGACTCGAGTATATCCAACATTATCAGATTTTTGGTAGCTATAAAAAGTATCAAGATAAATAGGAGAACTAGTTCTCTTGTTTTATCTTGAAAGTTTTCTATCGGCATGGAGGCTTGAGAAACATGTGTCTGGTGGGTAAACACTATCATTTATAAATGATATATCAACACACCCACATATAAATAGCCGAGCAATCACAAAAAAACTCTCTGCTAAATGATATGGCTAGATATACAGAGGAATTGTCCCGTGATTTACAAAAGATTGTATTACGTACCCACGTAGAGGTGAAAAGGTCATCACAAAATGAACTTTTTTTTAGAATACAGATAATTTTTTGCTCTGTAAATAGAAAAGGAAATATAACACTCCCACATAGTGGTAGAGGAGATCACCAACAGAACTCTATTCTAGATATATAGACGAATTTTTTGCTCTGTTATTTACCAAGGCAGAAAGCTGCATAAAAAGGAATTGATACGGCTCAAAAAACGTTCAAATACAAGCCTTAGAATGCTTACTAACCGATTCACACGCAAGGCAATGATTCAGTAAGGCCCCTTCAAAGCTGAGCGAAAAGTTATGCAAACAACTGTTGATGGGGTACATATTTTATCACTTTGAAAGCATGAAAATAGAATGGCCTAGGTCAATGTTAAATGGTTGAGGGTCCGTGTACGGGTTTCTATAGCATGCCAAGTCTTATCTACCAAATAAACATTGGAAGAGAATAAACTACAAACAAACTCGGTAAACTCTCTATACAGGTTTTGTCGATACTGCTGCTCTTTCTGGAGCTGTGCTGGTTTAACTGAAATAAAGCGGTTGCAAAAACTACAAACCCGGGCAGACCTCTAATTGACGGGTTGGCATGGAAGATCGTAGAGGGCTTTATAATATGATAATGTTGTATGTTCTCCTGTGTCTCGGTTACAGAAATTCTTTTTTTATAAATATTTATTTTTGTTTATAGATCGTCTATTTATTTTTACAGATCGTATTGTAGTTAATGATTTAATCGGCGGACCCTTGAAAATCAGCATATGCTGAAAGGACAGCCCCTTAAAAGAATCAAATATGAAATATGAATAAATTTGCCCTATCCCGAACAGCGATCGCCGCAGCACGTTGTGGAGACCTCTGCCAGAAAGGAAGACCGTTCACACCATACTAGAGATTTGGAAGCTGAGAAACTGATATACTGAGCAAGTTCGGAGTTGCTCCAAAATGCAGAAAAGGAACGAAATACGCTTTACTGCTGCATACACCTTGAAACCTTCTGGAATGGTGGCGACTGGGAAAAGATAAGAGCCAAATACGACAATATACTAGATGAGTGTTGTCTTAAAAGAAACCCAACGGCAGACACGGAGGAAGTGAAAAACGAGTTTCCGAGGGTGATTTGTGTAGGAAATATAATCAGGAACGAATCTCAACAAAGGTTGTTAGTACAAGAGCATAGTAAAGAATATAAGAGGGCTGTTCACTTAGGCCGAAGAAGCGGAGGTGGAAACATCTTGATGCCAATTAACGGTCTCTGCCCACAGGTAGAATTGTTAATTGGGCTATCGGCTGAGCAGCATACAACACAGAAAATGTTTGTCCAATGGTGTTTGATGTTGCTCCAGCAGGGTTCTAAAGTTAAATTTTGGCGTCAACGGGATCAAAATACAAAACGGTAATGTATGGTGCTAAATCGACAAGGCGCATGCGCATAACGTTGGTGGCCACTCGAACCCAACATAAATTGAACGCTCAACATGGCCCAGAACAACCCAGTGACTTTTCTATCACGATCAAACACCATTCAAAAAGGACTGAGGGGCACTCAACATGGACTCGACACATACAAAAATGCTAAAAGAACATTGTAATAGATGTATATATGTATTTATCCTTAATTATTTCTCATGTTAGAAATGTATGTATTTTTATTATTTTTATTTTTAAACAACTTTACTTTGTAGTAGGCTTGAATAAGCTTTTATTTTGTAGCTATTTTGATGCGCCTACTTTAA